CCCTCGGTGCCGCCGCCGGTTGTGGACGGTTGCTGCTCCCCGGCTCCCGCCCTGCGAGTCTGGGGCGGAAAGCCGACTGTCCTCCTTTGGGGAGGGGCCGTTCTTGAGCGCGAGGGTCCCCTGAATGAGTCACATCTCTGAGCAGATCGCCATGGAAGAGGAAATCGCCGCGCTCGTCATTGACAATGGGTCCGGCATGTGCAAAGCTGGCTTTGCCGGCGACGACGCCCCCCGGGCCGTGTTCCCCTCCATCGTGGGGCGCCCCCGCCACCAGGTGAGTCGAGGCCCCCGGTCCTCCCTTGTGCACCCTGTGCGCGGCAGGACGGAAGCCTGACGCCTTCCCTTGCAGGGCGTGATGGTGGGCATGGGCCAGAAGGACTCGTACGTGGGTGACGAGGCCCAGAGCAAGCGTGGCATCCTGACCCTGAAGTACCCCATCGAGCACGGCATCGTCACCAACTGGGACGACATGGAGAAGATCTGGCACCATACCTTCTACAATGAGCTGCGCGTGGCTCCCGAGGAGCACCCGGTGCTGCTGACGGAGGCCCCCCTGAACCCCAAGGCCAACAGAGAGAAGATGACTCAGGTAGGGCAGAGCCCGGCCGGCGCCCTGTTCACAGTCATTTTCTGTTGAGCCTCATTTCCTGACGGTCAAGTGTCTCTTTGCTGTTCCAGGCTTCTGTTCCTCTCCTGGCATTTCCTCCCTGAGGCCTCCAGGTTTCTTGTGTGTTTCTGCCTGCGTTCTGTTCTTTTTCCACACATCACATTTGTGGCATGCGGCATGTAGTGTGTGGGCAGGGGTGGCCTTGGGTTCCTGCCTCTGACTGAGCTGCTCCTTGTCCCCCCAGATCATGTTCGAGACCTTCAACACACCGGCCATGTATGTGGCCATCCAGGCTGTGCTGTCCCTGTACGCCTCTGGGCGCACCACTGGCATTGTCATGGACTCTGGTGACGGGGTCACCCACACGGTGCCCATCTACGAGGGCTACGCCCTTCCCCACGCCATCCTGCGTCTGGACCTGGCTGGCCGGGACCTGACAGACTACCTCATGAAGATCCTGACAGAGCGCGGCTACAGCTTCACCACCACGGCCGAGCGGGAGATCGTGCGAGACATCAAGGAGAAGCTGTGCTACGTTGCCCTGGACTTGGAGCAGGAGATGGCCACTGCTGCATCCTCCTCCTCCCTGGAGAAGAGCTACGAGCTGCCCGATGGGCAGGTGATCACCATCGGCAACGAGCGGTTCCGGTGTCCAGAGGCACTCTTCCAGCCCTCTTTCCTGGGTAGGTGTCTGGATGGGGCACAGAGTTCAGGGCCTTGCCACCCGGAAGTCTTCAGGCTGCTAAGGGAGAGCTTTGTTCCCTAGGTATGGAATCTTCCGGCATCCACGAGACCACCTTCAACTCCATCATGAAGTGTGATGTCGACATCCGCAAAGACCTCTATGCCAACACCGTGCTGTCGGGCGGCACCACCATGTACCCAGGCATCGCTGACAGGATGCAGAAGGAGATCACAGCCCTGGCCCCCAGCACCATGAAGATCAAGGTGGGCGTTCGCCTGGCCTGCGCAGGCCTGGCCTGGCGGGGTTAGGGCTGGGCTCTTGTGGAAAGGGGAGCTGCTCTGGTGCGGCCCCAGGATGTAGGGAGCAGTGTGACATTCGGGGTGCTCACTGTTGTCCTTTCCCTCCACAGATCATCGCGCCCCCTGAGCGCAAGTACTCTGTGTGGATCGGGGGCTCCATCCTGGCCTCACTGTCCACCTTCCAGCAGATGTGGATCAGCAAGCAGGAGTATGACGAGTCGGGCCCCTCCATTGTCCACCGCAAATGCTTCTAGATGGACTGAGCAGGTGCCAGGCACCTGCTGCATGAGCTGAATCTGAAGTATAAATTTGCTCTGGCAAATGTATACACCTCATGCTAGCCTCATGAAACTGGAATAAGCCTTTGAAAAGAAATTGTCCTTGAAGCTTGTATCTGATGTCAGCACTGGAACGTAGAACTCGTTGCTGATTTTGACCTTGTATTCAAGTTAACTGTTCCCTTGGTATATGTTTAATGCCCTGTGCATATCTTTGATTTAAGCCTTTAGTCCATGTGGCTCGGTCACCTGGTACCTGAGGTGAGAGCGTGCATAAAGGAGAAGTTCATGGCTTAGGGAATCTGAGACCACAGCAGTGATCTGTGCAGGGTATTCATGTGTCGGCTGACAGACTTCCAGGATTGCTCGGGCTGGCAAGAGTTCCTGGGCCAGCTGTCACTTCTTGCCGGTCTAACAGGGTGGGAAAGTCCGAGCCTTAGGACCCAGTTTCCGTTCTTACCAATGTTCTCCCGCCTGACCACCATTGGTTATGACTTGCCTTGAGTTGGAAACGGTTTGCATTTACATCTGTAAATTTATTCATTTTAATTTATGTAAGGTTTTTTGTACTCAATTCTTTACCAGATGACAAAACTTTTGGTTTTCTACTGTTATGTGAGAACATTAGGCCCCAGCAACACTTAATTGAGTAAGGAAAAATAAAGTGCTACAGTACACTGAGGGTCTGCTCCTGTGCTGGTGTGTGGGGCAGGTGGACAGTGGCCTGGGAGGCTGGGCTGGGCTGGGCTGGGTTGCGCTGCGCCGTGCCGGGCACTCAACCTCCCTCAAGCCAGAGATGGAGCCTCTGCTCTGGAGTGGAACTCCCCTCTGGAGATGTCTGATCCCTAACCGCAGAGACTGCTTGCCACCAAGAGGTACCTGAGCAGCAAGGAGTGGTGCCTTCTGAGGGCTCGGGTCCTCGGTCCCCAGGTGGTGGGGCTGAAACAGGGTGGAGGTTGCTTCTGGCTGGCCAAGCAGACATCATGGGGTCACTGCTGGACGTGCTAGTTGTCCAAGAGGGATGGCTCTGACTGGCCTGCAAATTGGGCCTTGAAGGAGTCTGATCCCAGTTGAAGCCCAGGTAAGAGCAGCAAAATGTCCTTCTAGGGCAGAGCTGCCAACCTGGGGTTGGGGTTTAGGGTAGCCATGTACTTATCAACCCCCTGAGTTCAATCTCTAGCACCAGGAAAAAAAAAATTTGATTGCAATTAGAGGTGGTGAGTGGACGTGTAAATAGTCGGGATGGCGACTTCTATGTATTTTTTTACCACAGTAAAACCATATCACAGGTGCACGTCTGGGGACATTTCCCAAGCACAAAAAGGCCTGCTCCTGGGGAGCCCTAGGAGTGGGAATCTGGATGAGGCAGGAGGGGTCAAGTCCAGTGGGTGCTGGACCTGCTGGGAGCTCCCTGGCCTGGTTCCTTCCCACTCCAGGAACCTCTGGTTCCAGGTTGTAAATGCCACTTGGCCTTGGCGGGTCCTGTCCCCTGCTCCAGTGCAGGTGGACCTCATGGGTCTCCTGACTCTTGAGGCCAGGTCACACCAGCTTCAGATTAGACCATCACGGTTGACCCTTAATTCGCCCTTATGGTATGGCCAAAGCCTGCCTGGCATTAAGGGGTGTATGGAAGCCACCAAGGCCAAGAGAGACCTGGGCCCAGTGTCACTCCCCTCTCCTGGCACCAGGGTGGCTCAACATGTGTTCCTAGGTGATGGGGAGATCTCAAGAGTCAGAGAGGGACCTGTGTGCCCCAAAGGGACAGAGAGACTCCCACCCTGGCTCTGCATAGCCTGAGACTGACCCCCTCCGTCCAGATTTCAGATGCAACCTCGGCAGTTCTGCCAGGACTGGTGCCAAGAGGTTGATGCCCCCAGCATCGCAGCCAGCCTGTCACACCCCATGGCAGCATTCAAAGACCGTGGTGCCCGCTCCACCTTACAGACATCACATCTAATGATTCTTTTTTTTTTTTTATTCTTGCATTGAGGATGGAAGCCAGGTCCTTGCACATGCCAGGCAAGCGCTCTACACTGAGATGCTCCCCAGTCCCCTCACTTTTTTTTTGGTATCAGTGATTGAACCTGGGGTACTTAACCACTGAGCCACAACCCCAGCCCTTTTAATATACCCTAATTAGGGACAGGGCCTCGCTGAGTTGCTTAGGGCCTCCCTAAGTTGCCAAGGCTGGCTTTGAACTCATGATCCTCCTGCCTCCGCCTTCCCAGCAGCTGGGATTGCAGGAAGGTACCACTGCACCTGCCAGAGGGCAGATCTTTGTTCTAGAGAGTTCCTCCACTCTAGACCTTGCTGAGGGCTCCCTTGAGGTGCAGTTCGACTGTCTTAACACTTGATATTCTTTCTAAACTTACAGCCAGTTCTGGCTTTCAATGTCTTCAGTGATCAGCCTGATTCAGGTTTAACATATTATTATTTTTATTTTTATTTTATTTTATTTTTTTAAAGAGTGAGAGAGGAGAGAGAGAGAGAGAGAGAGAGAAATTTTTTTTAATATTTATTTTTTAGTTCTCGGCGGACACAACATCTTTGTTGGTATGTGGTGCTGAGGATCGAACCCGGGCCGCACGCATGCCAGGCGAGCGCACTACCACTTGAGCCACATCCCCAGCCCCCATATTATTATTTTTAAATTGTTCAGTTGTAGATCTTTATTTTGTTTGTTTATTTTTATGTGGTGCTGAGGATCAAACCCAGGCCTCATGAGTGCAAGGCAAGTGCTCTGCCACTGAGCCCCAGCCCCAGCCCGGGTTTAATTATTTTTAACAAGAATATGACTGGGTAGTCAGGCACAGTGGCACATCCTATAATGCCAGCAACTCTGGAGCCTGAGGCAGGAGGATTGCAAGTTCAAGGCCAGCCTGGGCAATTTAGCAAGCCAGGCTTTCAAGACAAAATAAAGGGCTGGGGTTGTAGCTCAGGGTTTTTTTTTGCCTCGCACATAGGAGGCCCTGGGTTGCCTAAAAATACATAAATAAATAAAGGTGTGTGTCCATCTACAACTAAAAATGTTTAAAAAAATAAAAAGAGGCTGGGGAGATAGCTTAGTGGTAAAGCACCTGCCTTGCATGAATGGGGCCTTGAGTTCAATCTCCATCACCACATAAAAAATAAACAACAATAAAAAATATTTTAAAAAAGAAAATAAAATAAATTTTAAAAAGGGAGTGCTGGGGAGGTAGCGCATTGGTTGAGATTCCCTGGGTTCAATTCCCTGGACCCTGAAGAGAAAGAACAAGAAGGAGCAGCCTGGGGCCCAGTGCCAAGCCAGGGCTGGGTCAGCAGCCACTGGCGCGTGTCATGGAGGCCGGCACGTGGCAGCTCGGCCTGTCTCCCATCCTCCTCCATGTGTCAGAACACCTCTGCAAAGAGGGCTGGGAGGATGGTCCACACAGAAGGACAGCGCTGGCCTCTCCCTGCTTGTAGACAGAGGAGCCTGCAGTGGCCCATGGATCAGGTCTGCCCAGCTCCCTGCTGGGGGCTCCCACAGAGACTCCATCCCAAGCAGTCCCCGAATCTCTACCCTGTCTCTGGCTTTGCGTTTCTAGAATGTCACACAAACGGAATCGCACACTGGGTAGTGTTTCCAGCTGGCTGACTTCCCTTGGCGAGGTGCGTTCCCAATCCCTGGGGCTCTGCGTAGGTGCCGTGCTGCTGGCGTGCCTTTCCTGGCTAACTGGGACCCTTGGAATGGAGGGCCCCGCCAGCTCACTTGCCTATGGAACAATGTCTTGTTTCCTTGGTTTTCATTGATTATGAATGAACATGGTGACTGAGGTTTTTGTGTGAACATAAGTTTTCAAATCACTTGGGTAAAATATCTATGTGTATAATTCCTGGGTTGGACGGTAGGATACGTCTATCGTTGTAAGAAATTGCCGGATTGTCTTCCAAAGTGGCCTACCATTTCATTCCCACCAGCAGTGCG